GCTGAGGGAGCGCCGCACTGTCGGTGGGTCAGTAATGAGTGAACGCCGCACTGTTGGAGGGAATTAGGTTTGTCTGGAGCTTGGCCCAAGTTCAATCTGTTTTGATCATGAGTAAAAAAAGCACATGTTTTGATGGATGTGAAACAAATGATCTTCCATGTAGTTTGTGTGGGTTTTAATCGTAGGTTACAGACACTGGCATGCTGACCTTCGATCTGATGACACCCCACTTGAAGCAGGGCTGGCCTTCACTTGCAAACTAAAAACAAAGATCCCATTTCTTGGCCGGGAGATGCTGGAGAAGCAGAAAGCTGAGGGGCTGTTTAAACGCCTGTTGTGTTTCACCGTTGATGAGTAAGTGACTGAACCATTCCTGTCCCAGACTTGGGATCATGGGAGCTGGTTTATTTAAAATTGCAACAACTTCCAATTGTAACCTTTCAATGTGGGGTTGAGCCCATTTTTAAGTTAATCTCTCCTTGCGTTGTTACAGTTTAAGTACAGTGCAACAGGAGGCCATTCAGTCCGTTGACTTCCTTTGTCAAGTAATCCAATTGGTCGCATTCCTGTTGCTCTATCCATGTCGTCTTGAGTTGATTTTCCTCCAGTGCCCTTCCAGTTTTGTTCATCATCATCTCCATTTACAACCACCCCTTGTAGGCAGTGAGGTCCAATTTATTAACACGTGCTGTGTAAAAAATATTCTCTCTCACATCCTGCTTGCATCTCATGCACAAAACCTTAAATCCTAATTTCGTCAGCTCCAGAGAACATAATATAATCCTGTAACTCCTCTATGAAATTTCCTCCTAATCTCCTGTTCTCTAGGGAGAACAATTCTAGCTTCTCCACCCTAACCTTGTCCCTAAAATTCCTCATCACTGGATCCATGTGGTAAATTTCCACTGCACCCCTGACCCAGATGAAATATTTTATTTGCTGCCTGACCAGATATTTATAGAAAACCCAGCTTTTGTATCCAATGCCTCTGCGTACGGAGACCAAGATCCCATAGGCTTTGCTGAATCCTGATTAAATATGTATTCCACCTTCAAAGATCAAGGCATTTGATTATAATGTTCCTCTGTCCTTACACACTCTTTAAAAACTGTGCCCTGTGGGTAAGATTACTATACAATTTAAAATACTGAATAATCACAGTTAAGCTGTAGAATGGAAGAAGCCACTCAGTAACCCAAGCCAAGAGCAGGAAAATCAGAAATAGAAAGCTGCCAAACACTGCATTTCCTAATGTCTGTGAAAAGTCTGGTTTCAACTTTAGGGTACATTCACCAGACTGCAGTAAGTACAGGGCCAGATAAAAATACAAGCCCCAGCCCCTGCCCACGATTTGGATTGTTGCAGGGTAACTTACAGAAAGGTGCACTGTTTTGTGTAAAAACCAATTGTTATTCCACAGGAAGGTCCCTATGTTTGGCCTGGAAGTGATTTGGAGGAATGGGAAAATAGTCGGACACATTCGGAGGGCAGATTTTGCATTTACGCTTAACAAGACCATAGCCTATGGCTACATCAGGGATCCTGACGGTGGAGTGGTGAGTAGAAATAATATCAACATCTGGGAGTGTTTGAGGGGTCAGTGTAGAGGTACCTGTACACTGTATCTAACCCCATACTGTCCCTGTCCAGGGAGGGTTTGATGGGGACAGTGTAGAGGGAGCTTTACTCTGTATCTAACCCTGTGCTGTCCCTGTCCTGAGAGTGTTTGGTGGGGATAATGCAGAGGGAGCTTTACTCTTTGACTGATCCTCCTCTACTAGGTCCTTTCATTGTTGACCCTGTGAACTCCAGCAATGATAAAATCAGAAGTTTCTGGAAAAGCTCAGCAGATCTGGTAGCATTTATGGAGAGAAATCGGAGTTAACGTTTTAGGCCTGTGATCCTCCTTCAGCACTCTACCAGTCAATTAGCTCTCATTGTCCATCTCTGACCTTCCTCCAAGATGTCCACTCTTTTGTACACCGGGCCCATGCCATTGAACTTTGGACAGTTGCAGCAATGGCATGGTCTTGACAGACATCAGGCTGAGGGTTTGTGTAATCTTCCCTGGTTTAGCTAGTGCAGGTCCAGCATGTAATCAAGAAACCTAATGGAATAATATCCCTTATCACAGGAGAAATTTAGAAGTCAGAAAGTTATATTTAAGTTGTGCAGGGAATTTGTAAGATCACAACTTGAATAGTGTGTGCAGTTATAGTTTCCTTATTTAAGGCAGATATAAGTGCATTGGAAGTGATTCAAAGGAGATTTACTGGATTGATACATGGAATAAGTGGGTTATCTGATGGGGAAAGTTGGATAGACTGGGCTTGTTCTCACTGGAGTTTAGAAGAGTGAGGGGTGATTGGATTGAAGTGTATCAGATCCTGAAAGGTCTTGACAAGGTGGACAGGGAAAGGATGTTTCCTCTTGTGGGTCAGCCCAGAACCAGGAACACAGATTTAAAATTAGGGGCCACCCATTTCTTACTGAAATAAGGATAATTCTTCTGAGCATCATGTGACTTTGAACATCTCTACCTGAGGAGGCGGAGTCATTAACTAATGTGGATAGATTTTTTTTTGGCAGAGAATCAAAGGTTATTGGGGATGGATGGGAGTGTGGAATTTGGAACATGACCAGATCAGCCATGGTTTAATTGTATGGGCCAAATGACCTACTTCTCCTATTGTGTACATTTGGATGTTCATTCACCTTCTACCACTTGCCCTTCCAAGGCCTTCACAGTGATTACTAAGAACATAAGAGATATGAATAGCAGGAGGCCATTCAGCCCATTGAGTTTCTCCACCAATCAATAAGGTCATGATTGGTCTGATTGTGGCCTCAACTGCAACTTTTCTGTTTTCACCCCATTACCTTTCACTCTTTTGAAGATCAAAGGCTTGAATATATTCAATGATTCAGCTTCTACACCTGTGTAGAACATAGAACATTACAGCGCAGTACAGGCCCTTCGGCCCTCGATGTTGTGCTGACCTGTGAAACCAATCTGAAGCCCGTCTAACCTAAACTATTCCATTATCAGTGGGCCAGTTAATTCCAAAAATGAACAATCCTTGGGTAGAAGTAATTCCTTCTCATTTCCATCTGAAATTGGAGACTGTGACCCCTAGTTCTAAACTCCTCCCCCCCCCCCCAGGGGGTGGGGGATGGTGGGGAGAAGCATCCTCTCAGCATTCACCCTGTGAACTACCCGCAAAATTGTACATTTCAATAAGATCAGTCTCGTTCTTCTAAACTCTCAGGAGTGTAGGCCCAACCTGCCCAACTTTTTATCAGAAGACAAACCCCTTCCATCCAGCAATCAGCTGAGGGAACCTTCTATGAAGCAACACCAATCCCTGCTTAACTAAAGAGGCCAGAAGTGAGTTTTAGGGTCTTGCCAACATCCTATAGAGCTGTAGCAAGACTTCCCTATGTTTAAACCCTATCCTCCTTGCAATAAAGGCCCCCCCTTAGGTCTTTTCAGAATGGTAAGATACCATGGTGTGCCAGTGGGATCAGTGTTGGGACCTCAACTATTTACAATCGATATCAGTGAGTTAGCTGAAGCAAGGTACGGTGGCCAAATTAGCTGATGACACATAGATACAAAAGTAATTTGTGAAGAGGACATAAGGAGACTGCAACATAAATTAAGCAGGTGGGGAAAGGTGTAGCAGATGAAATATAATGTGGAAAATGTGTGATACTACATTTTATTAGGAAGAATTAAAAAGAGAAGCATATTATGTAAATGGTGAGATTACAGACTTCCGAGGTGTAGAGAGGTCCGGGTGTCCTAGTACATGAATCATAAAAGATTAGTCTGTAGGTACAACAAGTAATTACACAAGCTAATAGAATGTCATTGTTTATTATGATGGGAATTGAGTACAAACAATGAGAGATTATGCTTCAGTTATACAGAGACTGGTGAGAACACAGCTGGAGTACTATGTACAGGAAGGATGTAGATGTGTTGGAGAGAGTTCAGAGAAGTTTTATCAGACTAATCCCTGGAATGCTGGGCTGTTTGATGAGGAAAGGTTGGACAGGTCAGGCTTGTATCCCCTAGATGTTAGAAGGGTAAGAGGTCAAACATAAACAATGCTGATGAGACTTGACCATGTGGACATGGAGATAATGTTTCCTCTACTGGGGTAATCTAGAACTAGGGTGTCAATGTTTAAAAATCGGGGGTCACTTATTTAAGATAACAAGGTGTAGAGCTGGATGAACACAGCAGGCCAAGAAGGTGCTAGGCCCGAAACGTCAGCCTTCCTGCTCCTCTGATGCTGCTTGGCCTGCTGTGTTCATCCAGCTCTACACCTTGTTATCCCAGATTCTCCAGCATCTGCAGTTCCTGCTATCCCCGGTCACTTATTTAAAGCAGTTTAAGAGATTTCTTTCCTTTGAGGGTTGTGAATCTTTGGAACTCTTGTCTTGAAAAATTGACTGCAGCGGAGGCCCTGAATATTGTGAAGAAAGAGGTGGAGTTTTGTGAAGCAAGGTAGGGATGCAGATTTTGAGGTTAGAGTCAGATCAGCCATGAATGCATTAAAAGGAAAGCAATTCAAGAAGGTGAGTGGTCTACTCCCGCTCCTTGTACATATGTACACTAGGGACACAATCGCAAGATAGGCGGCTAATCTTTCATGACAGAGATGAAAAGAAATTTCTTCATTGAATGTGGTGTGAATCTTTGGAATCTCCTACCTCTGAGTTGTTGATGATCTATCATTAGATAAATTTAAGACTGAGATAGAGAAATGTTGGGGAACTGTGAGATACGATAATCCAGTGGTAAAGTGGAGTTGAAGCAAAGATCAGCCATGATTGTACTCATGGAATAGCAACAGACCATATGGTCTGCCTCTCCTCCGATTTCCTGTATTTCAATTTAAGAGTTTTTTTCAAGATTACAACCTATGCATCCACTTCAAGATACTCAGGTACCGGACATCAGGACCAGGGACTTGTTGGCCTTTAGGTTCCCAGGCACATTTTTGTTTGTGATAACAGTTCTTTAGATATCTCCATTCCTTTTAGCTCCTGATTTTCTATTATTCTTGAGTTTTTTTTGTGCCTTCCACTGTGAAGACAGATGCAAACTGTGTGTTCTAAGTCTTTGCCATTTCCTTGTGTTTCATTATAATTCACTATTCTCATCCGCTAAAGGAAATATTTATTTTAGAGGAAGCTCCCCTCTTTGTATACACTTACAGAAGCTCTTCCAATTTGTTGTTTCATTTGTTGCTCATTTATTCTCATTTTCTGATTTTTTTTATTAGACCTCCTTTGCTAATGTGTGAACTTCTCCCTTTATTCTGTCCTACCATCATATAAACATGGAAATTAACCGATGAATTAGGAGCAGGAGTAGGCCACTTGGCCCCTTGAGCATGTTCTGCCATTCAGTAAGATCATGGCTGATCTAATGATTCCACATTTTTGTCTATCCCTGACAATCTTTCACCTCCTTGCTGATCAAGGATCTATCTACCTCTGCCTTTTCAGCTTTGTATGTAAGCCTTTTCTTTCAATCTGATACATTAATAACATCTTTCATTAGCCACCAATGGTGCATTCTCCTCACACTGATTCTTCCTTTATCCGAAGAATCCAACCTCATTGAGAGTTATGAAATATCTCCTCAAATGTCTGCCATTGTTTAGCTGCCAATTTTTTCCAGCTCCATGTCATCAATTCTATCGCCATACCACTGCTAAGGCACTAGTTTCAGACCCCAGTTTTTTACCCTTAAAACAAATGTGAAATTCTTTGTTCAACAATCGTTCTTACGTAGGGATCCTTGACAATGAAATCATTCATTAATCCTTTCTCATTACCCATTACTAGGGCTAAAATAGCTTGACCCCAGGTTGGCTCCTGAAATTTTGTTCTAAAAAACTGTGTTGAATAAACAAAGGACTCAGCCTGAAGGCTATTTTTGTCAATTTGCTTCATTCTATCAAATGAAGACTAAAATTGCTGATGATTATTGTGGTACCTTTCTTAGAAGCCTCTACTATTCCTTGATTATAGTTTCTTCTACACAGTAACACTTGTGAGGGGACCTACTCCCACCAATGACTCTCTTCCTTTACTATTTCTTATGTGCAGCTCTTTTACCTAAATCAAATATTAGTTTCTTCATGAAATCACATACCATCCCTTCACTGTACGCCATCTCCCTAAACCCCTTTTGCCTCTTTCCTCCATCCTAACCTCCAAAATGTGCAAGGAGTTTGGCACTAAATTTGAGACCATCCAATCAGTTGCTTCTGCCACGTCCCTCCATCAGGCCAAAGTTCCTCAAATGATTCCATCTTGCTCTAGTTTCTGTCTTCTCTCCTCCATGTCCTTTTTGAAGACAGTTTGTCCATGAGGTTCACCTCCTGTTTTCTCGCTGCTGACCACCCAACCTCTCCTCCTGAGTCAAAAAACCCACCCTTGAACCCGTCATCCTTGCAACCCACCATTTCTGATCTCTTCACACTCCTTGAGTAGATACTTTGTTCTCCAATCTGTGCTGGTTTTTCCCGAAATTCCATGTGGAACCTCTTCACTGACGTTTCTGCTCCTGCACCTAACAAAGTTTTATCAAAGTCATAGAGACATCTTTTGTGACTCAGACAGAATTTCCCTCCTTGTCCTTTCTTGACCAATCAGCAGCCTTTCACAGGGTGCCATGCCATCCTCCTTGAACCCCATGTGCCTGTTGTCCAGCGTACAGGCAGGATCACTGCTCTCGCTGGATTCCATTCTTCGATCTAATCATAGCCCGAGAGTCACCAGCAATAACTTCTCTTCCTGCTCTTTCATCATTATTCCTTCCCATTGGCCAAAGGGTCAAGGATCAGAGAATTCCAATTTAAGATCATTAGCAAAAGGTGAAATGAGGAAAAGGTCTTTCTTTATATGGCAAGCTGTTAGGATTGGGATCTCACTGCCCCATGGATCGTAGTAACATAGATAATAGGAGCTGGAATAGGCCATTTGGCCCCTCAGGCCTGCTCAGTCATTCATTTTGATCATGGTTGATCATCCAACTCTACAGCCTGTTCCTGCTTTTCCCTCACATAGCCCTACGTGCTATATCCAACTCCATGAAATCATACAATGTTTTGGCCTCGACCTCTTTCTGTGGTAGAGAATTCCATGGGATCATCCTCCTTTGGCCTTAGAAATTTCTCATCTAAGTCCAAAATGTTTTACCCTTTAGACTGTGACCCCTGCTTCTGGACTCCCCATCCATTGGGAACATCCTTGCTGCATCTACTCTGTATGCCTACGTTAGAATTTTATAGGCTTCAATGAGATTCTCCCTCATTCTTCTGAACTCCAGTAAATATAATCCTAATTGATTCAATATCAGTCCACACCATCCCAGGAATTAGTCTGGTAAACCTTCACTGCGCCCTGTCTATAGCAAGAACCTCCTTTGTCAGATAAAGAGACCTAAACAGCACACAATATTCCAGGTGTGGTCTCATCAAAGCCCTTTATGTTTGCAACAAGACATCCCTGCTCCTGTGGTCAAGTCTTTTTTAAAGAGTAGGTTGAGAGGAGAAATGATGGAAGTGTTGAGAATGATGAGGGGTTTGGAAAAAGTAGGTAGGGAAAACTTCCCATTGGCCAAAGGGTCAAGGATCAGAGAATTCCAATTTAAGATCATTAGCAAAAGGTGAAATGAAGAAAAGGTCTTTCTTTATATGGCAAGCTGTTAGGATTGGGATCTCACTGCCCTGTGCTGGAGAGAGAGGGACAGTAGGTGTATAACTCTTCTGGAGAACTAGCAGATACATGATGGGCTGAATGGCTCCCTTCTTTGCTGTTACTATTTCTACCACTACCTTTCTTGACCTTTCTTGTCTCTAAGTTATTGAATGTTTGTCCAGAATCCAGTGTTTGATGAGCAGACATTTCCTCCAGTTAATCATTGGAGAGACTGAAGCTAATGTTTTGGACCCTCCAACAAACCCCATTCCCAATTCCATCCTTCTCTCTGGCAACTGTCATAGGCTGAATTTGACCATCGTGGTGAGATTTCCAACCGTCAGAAAAAATTCGAACCATACATTTGCACTTTTGGTAAGACGGTAAAATCAGGGACTGACATAGTCGCTGCCTCAGCTTGTTCACTTCTACATGTTATCTCTAGACGTGACTGTTCTGATGCATTCAGAGTGAATTCTCTGCATAGTGTGTTAGTGCTTTCAGTCTCTGTGTCTCACTGCAGGTCACACCGGACTTTGTGAAGAGTGGGGAATACTCATTGGAGAGAATGGGCGTCTCCTATCCAGCAAAGGTCCATCTCAAATCACCCTTTGATCCAAACAACAAGCGAGTGAAAGGGATTTATTCGTGAGGATGTGAACTGCCTGTGATGCTCCGTGCTTTGAGAGCAGGAAATATGTGACCGGGAATTTGCTGTAATTGTCTTTGAAATTCCAGTTTTGTAATTGGAAGATCGGTTTCTGGAACCCAGAGGTTTTTGAAGTTTCTGAACTGAGTATTATAACCTTACTGTGAGGGAGACATTTTAATATTTTATTGAATTAGCAATAATTCTACAGCCTTTATAATTATTTTCAATTGAGTTTTAACAAATTAAACTTTACATCAGTGCCAACAAAAACAGCATGTCTGTTCAACACACAACCTGAACTTGTAATCTGAATCCACAGGTTAAATGCACAGTGCCCCAAGTCAGGTAGCAATGGGGAATTGGCTGGTCTTGGTGGTATTGACTCAGAGTGAATGATATTCTAACCCAATAAGTAGTGTTTTTAATGTGTTCTGCGGCCTCCTTATGATCCCAGCTCTTAGCTGGGTTTCCTGTACTGGGGAACATGTAATGTGGGAATACTGTCCTTGCAGAGTGTTCAGTCTGTTCAGTGGGAATATGAGGGCCCAGTGTGAGGAGCAGATCGGAGTGCTTGGAATGAGAGTGATGGGTGTTCAGTGTGAAGAGTGGGTGGGACTGACGGAGGCCAGGATTGTTGAGGTTTCTCATATTGATGATTTGGGATGGAGTCTTGGAGAGATGGTTCTGTGAGAATATTTTGGTGCCTTGGGTGTTGTGACCAGGGGTCACAGACTAAGGATACCCAGGTGAACCATTTAGGACTGAGATGAGAAATTTCTTCACCCACCGAGTGGTGAGCCTGTGGAAGTTTCCACCACAGAAAGCAGACAAGGCCAAAACCAAGAAGAAGTTGGGTGTAGCACTTGGGCTAAAGGAATCAAAAGCAGGAACTGACTATTGAGTTGGATGATTAGCCATGATCAGAATGAATGGTGGAGCTGGCTTGAAGGGCCGAATGGCCTGCTCTTACTTTCTATGTTTAGGGAGGAGCTGCACTTTCATCATTTAAAGAAACTTACACATTCTGATCTGAGAGAGTTTAGTGTTTAATAGGAAACAAATTAACATCAGATCAATTAAAGGACAGTACACACTGGGTGACAGCACAAGGTTACAGACATGGACCACACTTTCATTGGTGAGACACTGCAGCAGAAACATCAGCTTCACTTCACCCTCCCTCCACCAACCTCATTGAGGCTTGGCTATTTCAGTTACCCTACAGCTGGATACTGTGACCATTGAAGGGGCTTCCATCACTCTCCTGGTTTAGTGGCAGTGAGTTGGACCACCGTTGCCTCTCCTGGTGCCGTGTGACTCGATCTCTGGCAATGATCCCGTGATTTTGCCAGTGCCACAGTTACCTGAGGGAGGGGCTGCTCATCCCAGTTACCCTGAACACAGAAAGTATCTCATTGTCAAGGTTTCAACTTAAATGAATTTAAGTGATAATGCAGTGTAGCAGAGAATATGACTCTTTCCATCTGGCAGGGTTGCTAGGATGCAGTCCTGCAGAAGCCTCAATACTTACTGGGAAGCTCACTGCGGACGACTTGTTGCAATGCACAGAAATGGGAGCAAAATCGTACATCGCTTTCAGCACCTGACTGCTGAATGGGCTCCAGGGCACTGCATCAAACTGTTGCGTTACTGGTACCTGGGGACAGCTGCAGATCCTGTCATCATCAATCCTTTAAAAACAGAATAGTGATACATCAATGGCATTACCATCACTGAATCCCCCACTAATCAACATCCTGAGCATTACCATTGACCACAAGCTGAACTGGACCAGTCACATAAATACTGTGGTTACAAGAACAAGTCAGCAGGTAGGAATCCTGCAGTGAGTAACTCACATCCTGACTATCTATCGTGACAAGGCACAAGTCAGGAGTGTGATGGAATACTCCCCCCTTGCCTGGATGGGGCAGCTTCAACAACACTCAAGAAGCTTGTCACCATCCAGGACAAAGCAGCCCCCGCTTGATTGGCACCACATCCACAAACATCCACTTGCTCCACCAACGCTCAGTAGCAGCAGTGTGTACTATTTACAAAATGTGATAGAAAAATTCACCAAGCCTTCTTCGACAGCACCATCCAGACTCTGTGACCTGTACCACCCAGAAGGACAAGGGCAGCAAATACATAGGATCACGACCATCTGCAAGTTCCCCTTCAAGCCATTCACCATCCTGACTTGGAAATATATTGCTGTTCCTTCACTGTCACTGGGTCAAAATCCTGGAACTTCCTCCATAGGGGATTGTGGGTCTACCCACAGAGCAGGGACTGCAGCAGTTCAAGAAGGCAGCTCACCACCACCTTCTCAAGGGCAACTAGGAACAGGCAATAAATGCTGGCTCAGCCAGTGATATGCAAGTGTTGTGAATGATTTTAAAAAGATTTTATGTCTGTAGATCCATGCATAGAGTTTGTACGCTTCTCTAAGGAGACTCCCCTGATTTTTGCTGCTCCACTGTGGCCATGCCTTCACCTCACTGGGCCCACACTTTTGGTTAAAAGATTTCCTGATATAGCTTAGTGTTCAACAGTGTTTAATTATCCTGTGAATGTTCTACTGTGTTAAAGATGCTGTATAAATTCAGATTGTTACCTGTTGATAAAGGTGAAATACTTTTGTAGGTAATTGATATCCACTGCACTTTTGCATAATTCCAGTTGGGTCTGGGGATAGTAGTGTACGTAGTTCACACACATTTCTTCATTGATTCCAAATCCCCCCTAAAACAAACAGATTGCAATCACTGTAATCTCCAATTAGTCCCAAACCTTTTAACCTCTTCCTATGTTTATTCACTTCCCATTTAACATCAGCTCACTCTGTCTCCTCTGTTCTGTCTCATTCTCTGTCTCCACTCTCTACTTCTCCCTGTCTCTCTCCTTCTCTCATTCACTCCCCCTTATCCCACTGCAAATCCCTCTCTCTATCTCACTCACTCTCATTAGGCACAGGATAACGGAAGTTCTTCACATTTGTAACAATATGGTCGGTTATAGCCAATCCGAGGAGTCAGTCAAGTATTAACTGAAGGTGCTCGTGTTACTCATCGTGAATGTTGTCAGGGAGGGAGAAAGCTTGTGGGAAACATGGGACAGTTCCAGAGCTTCTGGTGCAGAGTCAGAAGTGGAACTAACCAACAACAGATCTTTGATGTGATGAGACTGGATGGTAGGCAGTGGGAAGTTGTTGTTTACTGAGAGGGGTGTAGGCCCTCATTGGGGATCAGTGAAGCAAGGCAGGAAGAACAAACTGGACCTCAATATGTTTCTGCAAAGTGATTAGTTAGTATCAAATCCCTTTCTTGCTTAAAACCTGTTATATCTCCAAATATGTTCTGATGAAAGATGAGAAATATTTACTGTTTTGATGCCTGACCAACTGAGTATTCCCATCATTTTCTGTCTCTGTCTCTCAGAATCCAACATTCTCAGGTCATTGCTCTTGCCTGCTGAAGATATTTGTTCATTAGGTTGTAGACTTGCTTGCCGAGCCGGTGGGTTTGATTGCAGACGTGCCGTCAGCCTGCTAGGTAACATCGTCAGTGCGCCTTTGGTGAAGCGTTGGCGTTCTGTCCTGTTTGTTAGTTATATGCCTCAGTTTGCTGGGGTGGTTGCTATTACTTCCGGTTCTGTTTCTCAGTGGTTTGTACACAGGGTCTAATTCAATGTGTTTGTTTATGGAGTTCCAGTTGGAATGCCAGGCCTCCAGGAATTCCCTGGCATATCTCTGTTTAGCTCGTGCTATTATGGATGTGTTGTCCCAGGTGAATTCGTGTCCTTCGTTGTCCATGTGTATTCAGACCAGTGAGAATTAGTCGTGTCGCTTGGTGGCTAGTTGGTGTTTGTGTATCTTATTGTCAGTTTTCCTCCAGTTTGGCCTATGTAATGTTTTTCACAGTCCTTGCATAGTATTTTGTACATTACATTAGTTTTATTGGTTGTGGCTATGGGATCTTTTATGTTCGTCAGTAGCTGTCGTGCGGTGGTTATTGGTTTGTGGGCTACTCTGATACCTAGGGGTCTGAGTAGTCTCGTGGTCATCTCTGAGATGTCCTTGATGTATGGTAGGGTGATTAATGAGTCTGGTCGTATTGTGTGTCTTCCTGTTGTGGTCTGTCTCGGAGGTTCCATGCAGGGACTGTGAGAAACATTACATAGGCCAAACCAGAAGAAAACTGACAATAAGGATACACGAACACCAACTAGCCGCCAAGAGACACGACTAATTCTCACTGGTCTCAATACACACGGACAAAGAAGGACACAAATTTGACTGGGGCTACGCATCCACAATAACACAAACCAAACAGAGACATGTCAGGGAATTTCTGGAGGCCTGGCATTCCAACTGAAACTCCATCAACAAACGCATTGAACTGGACCGGATACACAAACCATTGAGAAAGACAACCGAAAGTAATGCCAACCACCCCAGCAAACCGGGACATATAAATAACAAGTGGGACAGAATACCAACACTTCACCAAAGGCGCACTGACGATGTTACCTAGCAGGGTGACGAAACGTCTGCAATCAAACACACCGGCTCGGCGAGCAAGTCTACAACCTTATCCACAACCCGAGCTACAAATCTTCTCAAAAACTTTATATTTGTTCATTAAGATAGGTCAGTCCCTGTTCTAATATTTAGGCACTTACCACAGTCACATGGCTCCGGTCCTCAGTGTTATACGTGCAGGAGGTTATCAAAACATCTCCCTGTTGGGAGGAATCACATAGTTAAAAAAAATTTACTGTATCAGTATAACTCTGCCACGCATTACGGTGTGGACTGGTGGGGCAGCAATGGTTAGAGCCAGGGCTGAGGAAGACGGAGAGGTGAAGCAGAAGTATAACTACAGCAAAATTGTTGTACAAAGTTTTAAATTAGAAACAAAAGGCATTTGTAACAAAGCCAATGAAATAATCCTGATGGAGCTTAGTTTTCAGACCTATCAAAGCAGCAAAAGGACTCTGTGTAACAAGTTCATGGAATGTATTTGCAACAGTTTCTTAATAGAATCCATTATGGGAACATCAGGGAAGAGGTTATTTTAGATCTTGTTTTATGGAATGAGTCAAGGTTAATTTTCAATCTCTCAGGAAGAGTGAGCCTAGCACATTGCCCAGTCCATTGCATCACTCGAGAGGTGAGGCACCAAGGGTTCTTTCTGAGCACTCCTCTGTGGCAATGGTTTCCAATTGATTTGAGGATCAGCAAGCTGTGACATGAAACAGACATGGGTATGAAGCCATGACCCAGGTTCCACCACAGGTACCGCATCTGCATTAGCTGTGATTACACCCCTTGTATATCTGGTGGAAGCAAACAAGCCTGCAAGTACCAGTAAAGATGAGCTAAAATGGGGGTTGAGCAGTGGGGTGGAATGTAAAAATAAATTGGGCAGGAACATAGAATCAGGTTCTATAAATGAGAGCTGGAGTTAGCTCCATGGTCCTATAGAACTGTTCCACAATTTAAGATGAGAACTACTTTTCTCCCTGGATTCCATCTTCCCTCAGCACCAAATCCTTTTGATGTGGTTATTGATCAATATTGGTCTATTAATCAAAATCCTATTGATCTGTCTTACAGCAACACAGTGATTGAGCATCCACAGCTCTTTGGGATAGAGAGTCACAAGATTATTGAGTGGAAACAATTCTTTCCATTTCAGTTATGGTCAAACTGTTTCACCTAAACTGACACCCGCCCTGCACTCTCAGACCATGGGCAATTGTATTCTGGCACCTGTCGAGCTACTTGGAAAAGGAGTATATTTCAATTATTTTCCATTGACAGGTCAGACTGGTGAACAGCTGTTACACTCCCTGCAAGGCAAGTAGTTTCCCAATCCACATTAGTCAACTTGCCCCTCAAAAGAAGACCTTAGTTTCATGTTTAATTAAATCACTTTCAATTTAAATTTTAAAATGTGCTAACATTATGATTGACCTTCCTTAGTGAGTCCTTTGCTACAAGGTCATCAATTTATTGTCCTTAATGCACCATTTTAGGTCTAAATTCAACTGTTTTCAAGTTGATTCCTCGCCATATTGAGATGAAAATTATACTTTCCATTATTTCTGTAAATTTGGTTTGTCCAGTGTATCTGCGGATTAAACATTCCTCAGGTTACCCTATTAACCTTCTTAAATGCACCTCAAATTTTCTGATTTCTATTTGAACATGGAACCTACTAGTTGGAGGCGCTAAAAACAACCACCTAGCAGGTGTAGAGCTGGATGAACACAGCAGGCCAAACAGCATCAGAGGAGCAGGAAAGCTGACGTTTCGGGTCT